TGTTCCTAAAGGCCCCCAACCACCCCAAAACTGCCCCAAACAACCCAAAAGTGTCCCTAAGCTGCCCCAAACACCCCAAACCTGCCCCAACCACCCCAAACCTGCCCCAAACAACCCAAAAGTGCCCCTCAAGTGCCCCAAATACCCCAAAATGTCCCTAAACGGTCCCAATCACCCCAAACCTGTCCCGAACACCCCAAAATATCCCTAAACGTTCCCAACCACACCAAAACAGTCCCGAACCACCCCAAAGCTGCCCCGAACACCCCAAAGCTGCCCCAACCACCTCAAAACTGCCCCAACCACCCCAAACCCGCCCCAACCACCCCAAAACTGCCCCGAACACCCCAAACCCGCCCCAACCACCCCAAAACTGCCCCAACCACCCCAAAACTGCCCCGAACACCCCAAACCCGCCCCAACCACCCCAAAATGCTCCTCCCGGCCCCGCTCTCCCCCAGCCCCGCTCTCCCCCAGCCCCGCTCTCCCCCGGCTGTCCCGCTCTCCCCTCCCGGCCCCTCTTCCCTCCCCCCCCCAGCGCGGCCTCCCCTCGGCCGCCCCGCCCCGCTCCCCGGGCCGTTCCCACCGCCCCCCGGCCCCGCTCACTGGGGCGGGCGCGGGCGGGGCCGATGTCGAGGTTGAGGTCGATTCTCCGCCGCGCCTCGCGGTTCTCCTGCTTCAGCTTCGCCTCCAGCCGCGACAGCTTCTGCTCCAGCGAGGACGCCGCCATCTTCCCCCCCCCGCGTGGCGCATGCGCGGGGCCCGCGCGGGGCGGGGCTTGGAGCCCCCGCCGGCCGCCGTACGGAGGGAGGGAGCAGAGGGCGCCGCCATCTTCGCCCCGATTCCACCATTGCGCATGCGCGGGGTGACAGGGGCCGTTCAGCGCCTCAGCCGCTGCTGTGGATTGGGGAGAGCTGAGGGGCGGACAAGGGGAGTTTGGGTTCCTTTGGCCGCTGTAGGAAGGCGGGATGAGAGGGTGGAGAGGGCACGGCGGCTTTTTGGCCCCCTGGCCGCCGTACGGAAAGGGGGAATACGGACGCCGCCATCTTCACCAGGAAAAGGCTACTGCGCATGCGCAGAACAGGTGGCCTTTGGGCCGCCGTAGGGAAGAGGGACGCGGCGTTTATTCGGCCCCGCCGGCCGCCGTAGGGCGGGGAAGAAGGAAGGGAGCGGCTTTTGGGCCTGTCCGGCCGCCGTAGGGAGCCATGGAGGGGGGGTCGATCCCATCGGGCCCTGTGGGGGCAGCGGGGGCTCCTTTAGGGCTCCTGGGGCCCGGGAGAGCACTGGCGGAGGGGGGGTGTGCAGAGGATGCTTCACAGCAGCTCGAAGCGCATCGGGAGCGTTGGGGCATTTGTGGCTTTAGCGGAGTTTGAGGCTCTTTCTCGGGCACTTTACGGTGGTTTGGGGGCAGTTATTGATTCTTTAGGGAAGCCTGAGGCTGTTCTGGGGATGTTTGGGGCAGTTTGGGGGTGCTGAGGCTGTTCTGGGGCAGTTTGGGGATGTTTGAGGACATTTTAGGGGTGCTGA